ATTTAAAAGCATTCTTTTCTTTCCTTTTTTTTTTTTTTTTTTTTTGAAATTTTTAGGATTGTTACAGACGACCAGCCACTAAAAGAATGAAAGCTCCGTCTGAGGGATGGGAGCAGAAAAAAAGGAAATGCGCAGTCTGCAATGGCAGTGGACATGACAAAAGGCACTGCCCTTCGTACGTTGGTGATAGGTACAACTACACACCTTTACATTAATTTGATTTGCAATTGTATTATTTTCATTATTGTTGATATATTTGATTTACAATTGTATTAGCTTCAATTTAAATGCTAACATATGAATTTATCTTCCTTTTACCGTGCTAAGGATAAAACACGTCGTACACTTCGAATCCATAAGATGGCAGCAGAAATCGAGAAGATATGAATTCCTTGAAGGTACTATGTTAAACAATACCTTTTTCATGATCCATGCATGTTCTTGTCATCTTATATTTCCAATTCTTCTATAAAAGATTGGAGGTTATATTTGCTGATTATTTAACCATGTCTTTGTGCAGATTTTGTGCTGCAGAAAATGAAAGTAGTAGATGCTGTAAAGGATAACCCATTAGTGCAAACATGAGGCAATTGTGTTTTCTGCACCTTTAAGTAGATTGACATGACTCAATTTAAGAATTTTAGCATCTTTTTGTGGCTATGTACTTTGAAGTCCCGAAATTATGTAAATTGGCCTGGAGGCCAATTTTTTTCTTTTTAGGAGAAGTTTATGGTTGTTAATTTGGGGTTGAACCTGTTGGTTTCAAGTCTTTTTTTTACCTCTTCTTTCCCATGGGTGTGTTGAATGCATATGCCAAGATTTTAATTGCTTCTCTCTCTCTATATCCATTGTGTTGAATGCTAAAGCTTTTCTTGTAGTATGTATATACTTATTTTTCATAAATGGATGAAGATGAATTCCAGAATGTGTATGGCTTGTCTTGTAGCATGTATGTACTTCTCTCTCTATATGCAATGGTTTTATGTTCTTTAGTTTTATTTGAGATAGAGAAAGACCCATTTATCACTCTTATGTTGCAGAGACCCATTTTTCTTAGTATTCTCTAGAGAGGGAAACCCCATTGCTCTTCATTGTTTTTAGTTTACAGCTTGTGATAATGCATGGTATGAAGTTGAGCTTAGAGAAAACCATATCATGAATTTTTTTTTGTTTTTGTTTTTTGAAGACAATGGATATCTGAGGTTTAATATTTTGAGATGTGATATTCACCGGTTTGGTGTCTTTCTCTCTCTATTGATAATATTTTCCATTTACAAACCCGGTTGGGTTTCCTTTGAAACCATTTTTGGAGTGGTAGGATTTGGAATGTATCTCACTCTATAAATGGATTTGAAATTGTTTATCTTTCTTTCTTCTTTTTCTTCTGTTTTTTTTTTTTTTTTTCTTCTTTTCCAGTAGTTTTTTGGTTTGAGTTTATTCATTTTTCATAACCAGTAGAGAAATAAGGTACAAAATTGCTAATTTAATCACCATGAGGCCTCTGATCGCAGAGGGTCCGTAAAGACTTTTATCTGAATAAGACCGAGGGAGTGTTGGGGATCACAATTGCAATGGAGCTTCTACTACGGAAGACATTTTGGATGGGGCATTGAATAAAGGATTGAGTTGGTTAGAGTCAGTTTTCTTTGTAATTCGACAATTCGGAATAGCATACGATGTTGTAGATTGGGATGTTCTCAATGTATGTAGATAGGACTAAGTGTGGAGGTGTTGTGCAAGTGTATGGCTAAAGCTGAATTTTGATTAAAACTCATATTGTATTCTGAAACCTTTAAAGCCGCGATCAGAGGGGGTGGAGCTATCAAGAAGCATATACAGGTCACAGTGCATAAAAGGAACATTCCTTAGCTTTCCTTAATCCTTTGAGTGCTTCATGCGATGTGGCCCAATGACATTTTCCTTCCGTTTCTTGACATGGAACGTTTTGCCATGCCAATGGCATGATGAACTCGGCTGTTTTTTATAAATCTAAATGTGATTTGAAGCGTCTACTACATTTTCTAGGCTAGTGGCATATTGCTTAATCTGACTATCGGCAAAGGCACCTTATGATATAATCTGATCTCATAATTAAAATAACAAATATATAAGCTAGAACCTACATGTGATATTAACGATATATGTACTTGGTGCAATAATAAGTGAATCTTTTACTTGGTTCTGTTTAGCAGAGAAATAAGGCACATAATCCCTTATTCAATCATCATGAGACCCTCTCGAACCTTAATACACCACATTTATTCTAAAAAATCTATCCAATTATGCATCAAACAGGTGAAGAATAAAATATCCAAAAACAACTAGGCATCACTATGCCAATCGAGCTACAATCCTAAGACATCAAGCCAAACGTTTTCAGAAAGAAAAGGACTTCATCCTATAATATTGCAATAAAATCAACTGTTGCAAACTCAAGTAAACACAGTTGAAGCATCAATACAATAAACAAGTTTTAAACAATACAATAAGTTGAAGCATCAATACAATCGCTTTAAACAAGCTTTAGGATACTTAGTATCACAATCCTGCTCCAAACAAGCACTCAAGAATAGCACTCAAAATATTATCACCTAATCATTCAGCTTTCACCATTCCAACACCAAAACCACAAAAAATTAAAACCTAGTCATTCAGCTATCACCATTAAAAGCACTTAAGAATATCTGATGCTGGAGCACTAGAAAACTCAAAGGTATACCAATTCATTCACGATGTAGTATAAGCAAGTAAAGTGTTCATCGTTCAAACCACAAAACAATCAAAAATTAAGTGTATACAATTATAAATATATAGATACCGTAAAGCATATACCCATTCCAGTTACAAAAAAAAGGAGGGCAAACATCATTGTCATAAAATTACACATATGATTGCTATAAAATCTAAGCAAAAATTGCTATAAAATTGCATTGTATTTGAGATATTTTTTGCACAGTTTTATTTATAGCAATTTTTGCTCAGATTGGATTTTCCTTATTTGGGGATTTAGGAGAGTGAAAACCAAAGGGAGAGATCTAAATAGAAGGCCCCAAGGTTTTGCTATGTATTTCGGATATCCAAGAAACGAGCACAAAATATGAGCAAAAATTGATATAAAATTGCTTTGTAATTGGGACATTTTTTGCCCAGATTTATTTATAGCAAGTTTTGCTCAGATTGGGTTTTCCTCATTTGGGGATTTGGGGAAGTGAAAACCAAAGGGAGAGATGTAAATAGAAGCCCCCAAGGTTTTGCACTGTATTTGGGATATTGAAGAAATAAGCACAAAATCTGAGCAAAATTGTTGTAAAATTGCTTTGTATTTGGGACATTGTTTGCCCAAATTTTTTTATATCAATTTTTGCTCATATTGGGATTTTCACATTTGGGGATTTAGAAGTTTTGGTGTAACTCGAGAGTGAAAACCAGAGGGAGAAATGGAAATAGAAGCACCCGAGAGAGAGAGAGAGAGAGAGAGAGAGAGAGAGAGAGAGAGAGAGAGAGAGAGAGAGAGAGAGAGAGAGAGAGAGAGACGA